GTATAAAGGATAAGGATGGTAAAACTGTCACAGCTACTGGAAATTTTACTCATATTGATAATGGAGAACCTGAACCAATGTTATGTTTAGGTATGACATGGATTAGGAAAGTTCAAGGTGTCCTCGATCCAAATAAAAATCAATTCCGAATGAAGTTACATGGGAAAGCTTACATTATCCCAACTTTTAGCAAAGCTCCAGAAGTTGAAGATCCGCCAAAAGAAAATCAAAAATCAGCTAATTCTTCTAATCCGACTAGTAAGGAAGACTTAAAAAAAAGTGTGAAGAGCTTGAAAAGCGCCTCATAAAGACTGAAGAAATGCTCTATTTGGCCTTAAGTACCGGTAAATTTCTTGCTGATACATGTGAATCCTTATATAAGGAGGGTATTAGCTGTTAAACCCTTAAGCTTTTCACCACGATTAATTAGATTTTTAAGAAGAGATTCTGCCCTGTCTTCTCGGGATGTATCAGACGAATTATCAGAGGAAGAGACCATGCCATTTTTGTTATTTTTTTCCACTATACTAGTTGCTTCAGTAACCGGCTTCTCATCTATTTTAACCTTCTTTTTTAGACCATTCTTTTTTGGAATATCTGTAGCTGGAAGGGATATAGATGATACTGCTTCAAGAGTCTGTTCTGACTTATCAGATTGGGAATTTTTATCCAAAGCAAGCTGATCAGAAGAAGATAAAATAAGTCCTTGTTGGAGACGTTCACTATTGTTCCATATTTCATAAATACGCCGAGCACCAACATGGAATTTTTCAGCCATTATTTTTGATGCATTGGGTATCCTGCCTCTGGATTCTCTAATTTCCTTGATGTCGGCTTCTGATAATGGGGTGGCATTGGATCGATAAAATTTTTCATGGAGATGGGTGACCATTTTTTAATTAGAATATATATGCAAAAAAAACTACCAATAATTTTTTCAATATCTTTCAATATGTATCAATATTTCTGGTGATCAATACATATCAATGCCTTTCAATATGAATCAATTCCTTTCAATACGAATCAGTGCTTTTCAATACATATCGGTATCCTTCAATGCATATCAGTATTCTCTTTCAGTGCGCATCAATAAGTATAAATGTGTCTCAATACCTTTCAGTACGCACCAGTAATCTTTTTTTCAATGAGTATCAATAAGCATTAGTTTTGCCAAAAATAATCCACTTTCTTACAAGTTTAAGGCCCTAGCTGATTTTTTTTTGCCTAAAAAAAAAATACCAATAAAATGCCCCAGATCCGTACCTTAAAAGATCTGAATAATGGTAATAAACTTGGGGATACTCCAGCTAATTATTATCCACCCAGTCGAACAGATCTTGAAGAGCAACTTTCTTGTGCAAAAAAAGATCATGAAGTAGCTATTTATTGGGAAAGTCAGTTTGCGGATAACTATGATGTCTTAGATAGAAAAAACAAGCGCATGCAGGATGACTTGGATAAATCCAAAAATGAAAATGAAAAACTTTCCGATCGGGTGCACCAACTTGGAGAAGAGATAAGACAATTGCATTTAGATAAAAATGAGCTTATGCTTCAGATTACTCGCAAGGATATTTCTCTTGCAGATGCTGAAAGAAAATTCTCTATAAAATCGGAAGAGAAGCAAGCCTTCCAATCCAAAACAAAGGAAGAAATACAGGCTCTCCAATCAAGAGTAAAAGAATTAGAGCAGGATGCTTCTTTAGCACAAAATGAGATATCAGAAATAGTTTCTCTCAAACGCAAATTGGAACTGAAAAATGTGGAACTAACTACTGAAAATATTGGTCTAAGTTTGGCAAAAGATGACTTAGAAGACTTATTGACCGAAAAAAAAGATGAATTGGCACAGATAAAAGATGATTTAGTCATAGCGCAAAAAGCATTAATAGAAAAAGACTCCCTCCTTCAAGAAGCTAATGATCGTTTAGCCGAGCAGATCTCCCAAACATCCAGCGAGTCTGAAGTGCTTGGAGGTGATAAAGGACTGGAGAAAGGTATCGAAATCACTAGTCCTAAAACAACCTCAGATTCACCTTATTACTTATTTTTTCAGTATGCAATCATCTTCGTAATAGTATTACTAATCATATGCATTTTATGGTGTGTATTCTCTCGTAGAAATTCTTCTTACAATGAAGAAAAAAATATTTCGAACTATAAAATACCCTTAAATAGAAATCAGAGTTATGCTTTCCCAATCCGATACACAGAAGAACCAAAAGACAGGACTGCCTCCTATGAAACTTCGTCTTTTGGATATGGATGAGGTCACTAAACATGAATCATCCCGAAATATTGGACATCCAGCAATGACATGGCCTTTCAGCATGTTGGTCACTGGGAGAAGTGGTTCAGGTAAGACTAATTTACTTGCGAATCTTGTTCTTGGTAATAAGGATGAATATGTGCAAAGAGGGAAGAAAGGTGGGTCTCGCTACATCAAATGTGATGATCTAATTGTTTGTGGGTATCATCCTGATGAACCAAAGTGGGCATATGTGAGATACATATATAATATGATTTCGAAAGACCCAAGAGCACCTTACTATGAGAATATTAGTTTCAGTTATATTCCACCCGAAAGAATTCCTAGTACAAGAACATTCTCACCCGAAAGAAGTAAATTATTTATTTTTGAGGATCTGTGCCTCGCTTCAGATCATATACAAAATCGTATTGGTCAGTTTTTTGGGAATGGGCGTCACCGAAATATTTCATGTATATATATTACGCAAAAGTATCATAAAGTCAATACATTCAAACGTGAAAACTCGACTCATTTAGTATTATTTAACTCTGGTAGCAGTATCCAAGACGTGTCTAAGATTGTTGGACGATATATTGATGATGTAAAGGGTGCATCTATGGTTATTAATAGTTACCTTCGAAAAGGCGAGTTTGTTGTATTTGATCTCACTAGGCCAGAAGATGATCCTCTTGCAATCCGCCTAAGGTTTGACACTCCACTGAACTTACAAAAGGAGATAGAGGCTAGGCAGAAGCGCAAGAAAAAGAGTGCCTCAGCTAATGAGTAGAATCTAACTTCATAGATACTAACTTTTTTTCGTAATTATAAAAAATTGGAATGGGAGAACCAGTTATTTATATCGATCCTCAGAAAGCTCGAGACTTAGATCGCGATCTTACTTTACAGAAACTTTATTACAGGCCTGAGGGATATTATCGGACTGCTGAAAAAATGCAGGATGCTTGTAAGAAGGTGGGATATGAGTTCACTTTAGCCATAATAAAAAAATGGTTAAACAAGCAGGCTTTACATCAGATTCACAAACCCCGTCCTAAATTTATTCAGTATGCTTCTTTTAATGATATACAAGATCTAAATGATGTGCATCAATCTGATACTACACCACTTTCTCATTGTAAAATAGGCAATCGAATTTATAAGCATAGACTTGTAATAAAAGATGCGGCTACTAGATTTCGCCGTAGTTTTGCTTTAACCAATAAATCATCTGCACAAGTGGCTAAAGCATTTCAGAAAATTTATGATGACCCAAACTGTCCTCTTATTTGGCCAAATGTTTTAATTATTGATAGAGGTACTGAATTTATGGGCGAGTGTAGGGAATTATTACTTAGTCATGGTGTAAAAATTCAGTATGCTAATTCTAAACGTAGTGTAGCTATTGCTGAACGTGACCATCAAGAATTTGAAAAGCATGCTTATTTTCGGCAAGATGCTGTAGATTTTCATTTGCCTTTGACTGATAGATCCAGAGCATGGATTAAGGGACTTCGTATAAATGATGATAATTATAATAATACACCCACTAAGTTAATAGGTATGTCTCCTAACGAGGCTGTAAAAAAGGCATTAAAAGGTAAAAAAATAATAGCTAGACCTTCTGTCAAACATAGAAGACCAGTTGGTTATAATGAACCACTTTTACCTAGCTATACTGAAGTTCGGCATTTATTGGAACCCGGCGAATTAGAAGGTGGTAGAAGAAGAGCAACTGATTGCAATTGGTCTCCTGAAGTTTTTACAATTGATTCTTATTTAATAAAAGAAAATCAACCTATTCTATATAAGCTTTACAATGGTCCTAGACGCTCATTTGTAAGAGAAGAACTACAAATCATCCCGCCAGATTCAGTCTTACCGCCCAAATATATTCTCAAGCATTAGACTTACCTCCTCTCTCCTCCACTTGGTATAGGATTTGTTCGAAGGCATCGCTTAAGTAGTCATCTATTTCAGCTCTATTGTAGACTATAATTTGCTTATTTCTAAGCCAGTCAGTTAGTGAATTCTTTTTTCCTTGTTTTTCATTTCCAGGTTTATCATCTATAAGAAATTTGGTAAGAGAACATAGAGCGAACTTGAATTGCCCACGCTTGTCAAATTCTTTTTCAAGTAATTCCTTAAATTGTTTTCTTCAGCTTTCTAACATTTTTCGTATATCACTTCCATTATCTGGATGAGATCTAGGAACTTTTGCACGATGTACGGCTATAGCTCTTCTTTTGAGTGCCGTGCCTAATTCTTCTTGCTCCCTAAATTCTAGGTCTCTTTCTTGTTCATCAGTAATTTCTCCTAAGCGCTCAAATTCTTTATTAATCAAATTCTTAGATTTATCATTCCTATGAGCTTGTGTTATAGGTCCAAGGCCAGCTTTAGGCTCTGATATCTTTTCATATTTCTCTAACTCTTTTAATGTTGGTAGACGAACTGCCTCTGGATCATTTAGTTCAAGATCATGGAAAAGGGTCTTACAACCATCTAGATCATTTGCCTCATATGGCTCAACACCTAGATCTAATTCATTCCAACGTTTTTGCAATCTCACTCCCCATGTCTTAATTCGCTCTATAGACTTTCGTGCATTTGGACTGATCCAATTCTTTGCCTCCTCTTCTGTGATGTAGTCGACACCAAGTACTGGAGATTCCTTTTTGGGTTCTAGTTTAGGAAATGAAGTTGGGATTACCACATGTGGCTTCTTCTTGTTGCTCATATTTACACTAGAGCTTTTTACTTGTGCTTTGATTTCGGAAGCCTGTTGGTTAGCTTCTTGAATAGGCACCTGAATTGGAGTTTGAATAGAAGCTACTTCCTTCTGCTTTTGTAATGGTTTGCATGGATTTTTTCGCTTAAGATGCTCACGAAGTTTTTGAGGAGTTGAGCATTCTCGTCCACAACGTTTACAGGTTGTACCTTTCTTATCACTTCTTGCTTTTCTGACCATGGTGTTAACTCTAACCGTCGCGCTATTACTTGCTTATAAAATTTTTTCTTTAATTAATTATTTCCTATTCTTTTCAATTTCCGATCATATAGTTATCACCTAAGGCGGTATTTGCAGGCTTGCCAAAATGGTTTTAGCTACCCACAGATCGATCAAGGGAAACTGAAGCATTAACTAATTATTAATTAATCTTTCGAAAATTAGTGATAAAAAATAGGATGATCGCTGAATATTCCTGCCCATTTCTCTGCAATACTGGAAAGGCTTGTAATAACCCTTGCATTCGCCCAGAAGGTTGCCGATTTCATAGAAAATCAAAAAAACGGATACCATGCTCTGACTGCGGGAAGCCTACCGCTTCTTCTTGTGGCCGATGCCCGTTACATATCAGAGGATATTATATTACCCAGTACTATGACAGATTGCGGACTAAAGCTTTAAACCTGAAATATACTAAGGGTATAATAGGAATGTAATGTATTCTCGTTAGATTTATTTAGATCATGATTTTTATGTGCTCTAGCTTGCCAGAATTATTTACTGATATGTGATTTTTTCGTTAGACTTATAAATTCCCCCAGCAGGGCAGAAACATTAGACAAATAAATAATGTATTAGATAAGGAGTTAGCCTGTACGAAGCCAATTCCTGATATATATTTTTTCGTTAGATTAATAAATTCCCGGCAAGGCGGACAGACTTATTTTTCAGAAGCTGATTTGCTATTCGGTTATCTAGACTCCACTGAACCTGTTCTCAGCTTTGGAAAAGTTGGGACAAAAATCTCGTTAGATTTATTTAGCAATTATGCTATTTAATGAGCTAGCTTGTATAGAAGGCATTCTTGTATATAGAAAAGTTCGTTAGATTTAAAAAGACACATGATTTTTTGTTAGACTTATTTTCGTTAGACTTATTTATTAAATATGCTAATTGATGCGCTAACCTGCATTAAACCCGTTCTTGATTGAGAAAAAGTTGGGACAAAAATCTCGTTAGACTTATTTTTTTCGTCAGACTTATTAATAAATATGCTAATTGATGCGCTAGCCTGCATTAAACCCGTTCTTGATTGAGGAAAAGTTGGAACAAAAATCTCGTTAGACTTAAGAAAAAACGTTAGACTTATTTATGAGGTAATAAGGACCGTTAGACTTATTTTCGTTAGACTTATTTTTTCGTTAAACTTATTTATGGGGTAATAAGGACCGTTAGACTTATTTTGGTTAGACTTAAGTAATTAATATGCAATTTAATGAGGAAAATCGCGCAGAATCAATTCCTGATATACATTATTTTGTTAGACTTAATAAATATAACCGAAAAAATGATATAGAAATTAAGATTCTAGAGCAGAAAGAAGCTCTTCTAATATAATAAGAAAAATCAATATGCTTCCTGAGGTTGGAGAAGCCACACAGAATTAAGAAATATAATATCAAAATTAAGATTCTAGAGCTGATAGAAGCTCTTCTAATATAATAAGAAAAATCGATATTGTTTTTAATGTTCTGTGACCCACACACACATTGTTTCAGTGGGGGCCGGACCTTCGGTCCTTAAACCCCCACTTTCACATTGTGTACTGTATAGTGTATTGTAATAATTTTACATGGAACTTACCAGATCAATAAAAAATCATCTTTGCTAAAAATTTCTTCGAAAATTCTATGACAATATCGGTGCATGAAGGTATCCTCGTCCAGTTTTTTATCCTCATCGAAACTCACTGAAGACAGATATGTAAAACTGAAAAGCAACATACATACAGTAAATATCAACAACGTACACTCCCCGGTAAAAAGTATTCGACCACTTTAACTTTGCGAAATTAAAACACATATTTTGACGGTTAATTTCTCAACAATTTATTTATAAACATTATAAAAAATTTATATCATTTTATTCAGAAAAACTCAAATTTTTTATTAATATCTAGTTGGGTTACCATGGCTATCTAAAACAGCATGAACCCTTCTTAGCATGCTATCAACCAAATTAATTAAAATTTCGGGCTCAATGTTATTCCATTTCTCTTCCAAAACTACCATTAATTCTCTAATATTTTTTGGATGAGGTTTATGTGCCCGAACTTTTCTTTCCAAAACATCCCATAAATGTTCAATCGGATTGAGATCTGGGCTCTGTGCAGGCCACGGAATAGTTGATACTGAATTATCCTCTTTCCATTGTGAAACTGTTCTTGCTCTATGGACTGGCGCATTGTCATCTTGAAAAAAATATTGCAAATTGTTTTCTAAATTATTATAAAAGGGTAGAAGATGATTTTCTAATATGTTAATATAAACTAAACCTGTAATACTTCCAGAAACTTGAATTAAAGGACCAAGTTGATTTTTTGCGAAAAACCCCCATACCATAACTCCTTGATTTCCAGATTTTACAGTCAGAATCAAGCAATTAACATCACATTTTTCATGTGGTTTACGCCAGACCCAGTGGTGTGCATCATTCTGAAATAATAAGAAGCGAGATTCATCACTCCATATGATGAAATCCCATTCAGTATCCCATTCTTTTCTTTCACGGCACTAATCTAACCTTTTTTTACGATTAACCTCAGAAACAAATGGTTTTCTTTTTCCTACCCTACCAAAATACCCTTCAGAATGTAAAATATGCTTTATAGTACTATTACATACTGGACTTGGTAAACCATCATTAAATTTTTTTGTTATTTCATCCAAAGATTGTTATCTATCTTCCTTAACGATTCATACAATACGCCTTATATCTCTTTCTGCAAGTTTTGGTGGCCTACCTGAACGTGAAGCAGCTGAAATTTTTTCTGAATTTTTGTAGTCCATTATAGTGTCATGGATAGTTGTTTTTGGGAAGTCAAGTATTTCACTAATGTTTCGTTCACTATGACCTCCTTTCCATAGAGCAATAATCTCTCCTCTTTCAAATTCAGTAAGTTCGTGCTTTTTGGGCATTTTTACAAAATATTTTTTTTTTATTTTTGGGTAGCCAAAGGTATTAGCTACATGGGAAAAAAAATTTGTTAATATTTGCATAGTTAGTATTGGCGTAATTTTAATTTTAATGGAAATGATCGGCAATGATCGACAGGATGGTCAGATACTTTTTACCGGGGAGTGTACAAAGATGTTCTCAATAATTAGAACTTACAAATTTTTCGTGACTTCTTGCGCACAATCGAAGATGGATTTATCCTCATCTGTTGATAATATACTCCATTTGACCCAATTTTCATGCCATTTTATGTTCAATAACTGTTTGTCGTTTAAAAACTAATCACAAATTATAACAAATTAATAATTTTGCTGATCATTTGTTAGAATTGATGAAAAACTTACCATATTATATTCAATTATTATTAACTGCACAACAGATGGCAACATCTTTGGAACTAAGGGTCTTGGCCGAATTTTATTCCATACTTTTTCGGAACATGTTACGAATTCTAGTTTGACTTCATTACAATACATTATAGACGACAGACACCTGCAGACATATACAAAAATTAGATATTGAAACTGATTTGTTTGCATAACAAACACTTACAGTATCCGATCTATATCTTTTGCGTACGAAAAAGTTTGATTGGTTTCTAATAGGTTTATCGATGTCAATTGAAATTCACGGAAATCAAGAGAAATGTTGTGACCATCTGCCACCCACTATAGGCAAGAAAAGATTATTACTATATCGGGAAAAGTGACTATAAATTCATGATACTTCTCGATATTTAAGTCATTTATAGAAGCATCATTTATATAAATACGGTTTATGGCATGTTGCCATGATAGAATTGTCTTAAACTATAATTAGAAATCGAATTAATTAATAAAAGGATTATATTAAGGACGTTTTATGAATAAAGATTCTTTACTTAATAATTGACAATACTGATTAATAATAACCTTATTATTGTTCCTTGATCCCTCTTCATAATTTGTGATGAAAGGATTTTCAACTTCGTCTTCATGAATCCCTGTATCTGACACGTCATGGCCGTTTGACTTTAAAGAGAAATGCAGATTAAAAACGAACTTATCACATCATATGAAAAACAAAACGAAGAAACATTACTGGAGAGGGAGTTGATGCTTCGGCGTCAAAAGAATTATCTACACTTTTATAGTATGGAGGGGGAGAACGACCGCGAAGGTTGGGGCAGGTGTGATGATCGATAGAGCTTCTTCGGCTGGTCGTTTTTTGGAATTTTCTTTTTTTGGATCTTTTGATGCTAACTTTAATGGACAGAACAAAATTAGAAATCTTTAATCTCGAGCTATGAATCTTGTTAAAGATACTCACAGCAGAGTGATTTTTGCCTTCCAGAAAGTCTGTATTATTTAGACGTTTCATATACTTCTCTCTTACAACTTGATCCTGTTGGAAAACTGAATTTGCAACCCCCGTGGTATGTTCTTAGGTAGTGAATATGTTTAATGTTTTTATAAGCCGTATGCTTTGACATAACAGCATCAAATGCTTCATTCCATACCATCAAAGCAGTTCATTCATATATCGTTGCAACTTTCCGTTTTTGCGATGAAATAGCACCTTCCCAAAAATCTTTAACTAACTGTGATTTCTTTTCATTCTATTAAGTAGTATGATGGCATTAGTAACAGCTAAAAGAAAACAGTACTCTTTGGGAAGTGGCATAAGACTAAAGTCAGGACAGAACCACCACGAGCTGTAGATCATCACATCCCGATCATAATCAGGAAGTGTGGGTGGTTGAATGCAGATCGTAATCCCATCCAAAGAACTATCGTCCCTCAGACCTGTCCACTAACAACCAGAAACAAAAATCACAGACAAGATGGAACCACCACGAGTCGTAGATCATCACATTCTGACCATAGTCAGAAAGTACAGGTGGTTGAATGCAGATCGTAATCCCATCCAAAGGACTATTCCTTCAGACCCATCCATTATCAAACCAAAAGAAGAAATTATTTAACCTGAAATGTAGCAAGCGCACTTTCAGCCAGGTTTGCTATAGTTTCGTTTACTTGTTTCCTTTTCAATATGTTCGAGAGGTTGCGAATATATCGGGCGTGTTCTTTTTTCTTGTCAAACTGGAAATCACTCTGTTGTTGACGGTAAAAAAGGAAGCTTAACAAAGACCAGCTGTGGTCAGAAGTGAAGTATGCGGGATCGAATACTTGGACTTCTAACAAGAAAGAAAAAAATTTTGTAACCAAGACAGAAATCTAAAAACAAATGTCCGAGAAGAGATACCTTCGTGTTCAGATTTTTCAAAGATAGGTGCGATTGTCAGCATGGTTTCTCTTAGTTAACTCAGGTAATAATTCTTGTGAAAAAAAGAAAGAGATTTGATCTGATGGAATGGCGTAATCTTATCCCTGTCATTATCCACTTTAGGAAATATGACCGTATATATTACGCAAAAGTGGTAAATCTTACCACACCACCTCGCATAGTACAGGTGATGATTTTGTCACATGGTCGCGGCCGCGTTGTTTATATTTATCTCAGCAACTTAGAAAATTTTTTGTGGTCTGATCTCTATTTGTCACCAGCATAAAATGTCACTCCCTTTATGCAGTGTAACCAGCACTATTAATATTTGTAATATGCGAGGTGGTGTGGTAAGATTATCCCACAAAAGTTACGCTAGGATCAAGAAGGTAATTTTTACACGTGTGGATCCTAACTCTTAAGCCATTTAGTGCTAATCCCAGCATCTTTGCTCTCTCATATTAAGTTTAACGCTTAATTTTTTATTATATGGGCAAATGATAACTGATAAGCGAACACAAAATTTATTAATACTGTATTTAAATAAAACACACACATTTAAAAAATTCGAAGTGAAATCTTTATTATATTTTTTTTATAAAATAATACAATATATGAGAAATGGCCGGCCGGATAAGTAAAAATGAAAGTAAAAAATAATAGAGTAGCAGGATGTTTTAAGGGAGGAATAAAGCATAAATGCCTGCTGAGCCCCAACCCATATAATGGCGATTCCTTCCCCACTACTCCACATTATTATTAAAACTAGCTACCCATGCGTTTATCTGATTAATTGTGCTAACTTTATTACCACTAACACCATTATAAAAATTTTTCACTGTTGAAATCTTAATATTTCCTCCAAGACTACGAATATCAACTACTACCAAGAAGCACATCTCATCAAAAGTATAATTCCTCACTTTCATAAGTCGATCAAAGTGTTGTTTAAAGCGAATTTTAATGTCTCCAGTAATATCAAAAATTCCAGATAAATTGGAACTTCCAGAAGAAGAGCTTGGAGACGAATTAGTTGAAGAGTCTCGCAAATTAGTTTCAGATTCATTGGTCGAATTAGCTTCAGATTCATTGGACACACTTTGTTGATCAAAATCAGATCTTTGAACTACTGCGTAATGTTGATTTGTTTCATTTTGGAGATTTTTGATAACAACATTAATTCTGCTAAATTCATTACGGCAGGCTTCTTCGATATTATTAACTTTCATAGTTATGTTATTGACCATTGAAAAAATTTTCTGCACCTCCCTAGTGAAGTCATCATCACATGCCTTATTTTTTTCAGCTTCCGCTGGTAAGTTTACTATTAAGTTCGGTGTTAATTTTGCCGAACCCTGCATTAACTTCTTCATTAAGTTTATTATTAAGATCATTATTGATCCTGCCGAGTTTCGCAGTGAAAGTAGAATTAATATCAGAAATACATGTGTCAAATTTATCATTAAGTTCAGTAAAGATTTGGTCATGAAGTGACCTCTTTTTGATTTCTGGTATATTATTTAGTATACCAAGATCGATGAGAATTTTGATGACATGTGCGGAAAGTTCATCGGAAATTTTTTGTTTGAGATTTGACCACATGGTAGCGATCCCCATGATTAACACTGGACCAATGAACAAAAAAATAGCGGTTAAGGTCAAAAAAGGCATGATTCCCGAAGAGTTGAGTATAAAGCGCCATACTGATCAAAAGTCTGGGTTTAAACTCCAGATCAAATCCCAGATTTATCTGGGGTGAAAATAGATTAATCCATATTTCATCCCAGATTTTCCTATATTTCACCCGGATTTGATCCATATTTTATCCCGGATCTGATCCACATTTTACCCCAGATTAATTCCTTAAATTTTACCAAAAATTACATCACACCCAATTATCAAACCCTGGATTAATCCATATTTCATCCCAGATTTAATCCATATTTTACCCCAGATTAATCCATATTTTATCCTGAATCTGATTTATATTTTATCCCGGATTTGATTTTATCTATATTTGATTTTATCCTGGTGATATAAATCCAACATTACGAAGTCAATTATTGATTTTAGCCAGTTAGAATTCTTGCCGATCAACCAATAAAATTAAATTCTCCTTACGCTGCTCTTTTTAAAAATTTTAAAAAAAAACCTTAATAATTAATCTTAACTCTAGTTAGCATTATAAATTTAGCCAGAATTATGATTACTAAATATATAAATTTCAATATTATATAATTTTAACCAATCAAATTTATCATAATTTTTATATTATATAAGTAAAAAAATTGAGAAAATTTTTTATTTACTTAATCAATTTATTTTATTAAAAACTATTTAATAATAAAATTTTATAAAATTCTAATTATTAGATCATCATATAAAATACAAGAGATACCTATTATAGAGGTATTGCACTGAATAAATAATAAAAATAATTTATTTTAATCACCCTGTTAATAGGTTAATAATAAATTTTTAAAAAAATCTCAAAATATTTTTCAACATATTTATTTATAAAAAATGTATGAAAATAAGTTTTTTACTTCAAATTACCAGGTAATTATTTTCATTTAGCCAGAATTATCAATTTTTACTGGCATTATATTTTTTAATGCTGGTTGATTATCATAATTTCAGTCACCTGGTGATCATCATCTCCAGTAATAGTTAGAAAAATTCTGAAAATAAAATTTAAAAAAATTTTTTATAAATAAAGTTTCTATTTATATATAGGATGTTTAAACTTTAAATATGAATTATATATATGATTATTATAATACTAAATATTTTTTCAATAATACCAACAAATTTTTTTCCCTATATAATCTAAAAATATTTATTGTTTATATTTATCTAAAGGGCTTGGTTTTTTTTTGCCTTCTAATTATAAAATTGTTAGATAAGAGAAATAAAATAAATAATACCAAATGATTGATATGAAAATTTTCCTTTTAAAAAGTCATATAACCTTATGTATAATTTTCCAATTTTATTGGAATTAAAATTTCAATAAGTGTAATGTCAGTTCCTATAAAAATGAAAAAAAAATAATTAAAAAATTATTTTATTTTTGAAAAATATTTTTTGAAAACTTACCTAAAATTTCAGTCATATGATATAACATGAGAATGGAACTAGCATTACAAACTTGGCAACTTGGCTGAAATTAAGCGTAAAGGGTATGACATCTGGTAATAATTTAAAATCATGTAATCTCTATATTTAAGGATAGCCCTGAAATTTGAAATTAATTTAACAAAAATCTGAAATCTGAAATTCTGCCAAAATTAATTCATAATTAAAATTAATTAACCTGTAATTCCAGCCAAAATCGAAATTCAATAGTTCCTGCTGGAATTAAGTGCATAATTCCAGCTGAATTTACATATTTAATTTCAATTTTGGCTGGAATTTCAAATTTCAGAAGTTTGGAATTACGGATTATGGGTTCAGAATTTTGGAAAATCTAATTTCAGGGTCATCTTTATCTCTATTCAAAACATCTCATGTAAACTTTAATAGAAATTTTACTTTATTTTAAAGTTATAAGAGAGGTTTCTAAAATGATCTCATAAACAAAAAAATCTGATCACATGACTTAAAACCTGTGATATAGTTTAAGGATAAAATATAATCCGGATAAAATATAGATCAGATCTGGGATAAAATATGAATCAAATCTGGGGTGAAATATAGGAAAATCTGGGATGAAATATGGATTAATCCATTTTCACCCCAGATAAATCTGGAATTTGATCTGGGGTTTAAACCCCAGACTTTTGAACAGCATGGCGCCTCATAGTTGAGCAATGATAAACTGGACATGATTAGGCGTAGTAATTTTATTAAGAGATTTTATTGGTGGATCAAGTTTTTTAGATATACTTTTTTTAATATGCAATCTCTTGCGTAAATGCGCTGGAAAAAAGGTTTATTTTATACTGTATGCCTACTACGCGCGAAAAGAGAATTTAACCCGATTTAAATAGATCAAATAAAAAATTACATTGCTTCATTATGTGTACTTGTCATTATTACATTTTTTCATAATTATATTTTTTTCCACCTAAAGCAATAAAATGATGGCCTGGATCCCGTCTAATAATAACAAATGTCTCTTCCTGAATTTAACAATACGGCTTAAAATTAAATCTGACGAATTACGGTTTTATGACAACTTAATATTAATACTAATAGAGCAATGCCATGTCTCAAAATTTTCCATTTATTTCTAAGATCTCTTGCGAAATAGAAGATCGCATGTGATGTTTGTAGGCGCATCTTTGTTTGAGTTCACAACCCCTATTTCAATTGTAATCACAAAAAAGGAATATAAAATGAATGGATCGAGGTCTGTAGATGACGAATCGCACATGTACAACTAATTCCTATTCAAAAAATGGATTAATATCACTGGTCGAAATCAAAACTTTCGGTCATGTGACAAATCGGCAAAAGTTCGGCAGATCTGTCACGCATTTCGGCTCAATTTCGGAAGCTATTAAAAATCGGTCAATTATATTCCAAATTTCGACATATATGATTTATGGTCGATTTATAAAAATCGGTAGAATATCGATAATGTAAATAATTGAATAAATATTATTAACAATTTTTATATGAACAATGTTTATTGTATAACCGATTTTGTATGAATGCTGTATGAATGATGTTTATTGTATAACCGATTTTTGTACGAATGCTGTATGAATGATGTTTATTGTATAACCGATTTTTGTACGAATGCTGTATGAATGATGTTTATTGTATAACCGATTTTATACGAATGCTGTTAATTATAAATTATTTATTTAATATGATACTTTCTATTAATAGGATTAATTGCTAAATATTCTACTGCATTTCGCCGGTCTGAAATTTTATATTTTACTGGAATAAACTGACCTAAAATATGATGTACCAGAATAATGCAGTCACGGCTCTCATGATAAAATTTGGATCTCCATAGTTTAACGGTACAAGTTTCGTGTTCATCGTCACTACTAAAATAATATCGAACATCGCTGGAAGCTACATGTTGATACCATCGAACATAGGCTAGAAAATGTTCGGCAGATTGATTTTGCAAATTAATTGTATGTTTAAAAAAATATTGTATCTGGCCAGGATAACAATCGACTTCGCCATCTGATGTCACAAATTTGGCCAGAATAAACGAACTATTTACATGTCGAGACGACATTGAAGAGCCAAATATTTCGGAACCAATTCGACATCTCCCGAATTTGTTCATTTTGACATTAATAACTATTGAACCTTCTGGCCCTTCTCCAAACGGCTTTCGAAAATTGTACATTTCGTAGGTTGCATTGTAATATTCTACCATCCGGTCAAGCATATCATCTGATAATACAATATTTTCAGTAGATGGTCTTAACATTTCGCCTGGAAATGGTTCTTGTCCAGTAATCGGCGATTGTCGGATATCTTGCAAATATAATAAATATCTTCTCATTTCATCTAAAGAAAATTCGTCAGTTTCCAAAAGCGAACCAACTACAGTTGTATTATCAAGTAAATCGAGACCTTTGTCTCAATCCCGGAGCTTATTAAATTAGCAATTTGATTATCGTTCATTAATCGCCGCATAATTTCAGGTTCAATTTTTCGATGACTGTTTGGAAAAGAACCTAAAAATAACAAATATTATAATCGGCCTTTTTAAATTGTGAATTATAAAATATTAAATTCGAACTCACCTAACATACTGTTCACACGCTCAAATGAAAAATACCAGAAAGCGTAAAGGGGACCGAAGTCATGTGCACATTCACATAAGTGAAGAGAAAGATGTAGGTTTGGCGTTATCATATCTCGACCGTAATGGGTTTCTATTAATTTTATGACTTCAACTAGTCTTTGGTGAGCTTCATTCATGAAAGCGGTTTCCACAATTCGACTTACTAATATCGAGCATATTCTTACATAATCTTCCTATCTACAACTGAAAGATGATCCCAAAGTGCTACAGTGACGTAAATATTAAAAAACAATCGCCATTAGTCTGCGGTAAAATTAGCAAAACCTTCACCAGAATAGATTTTGCCTGGAATTCGACCTAAATCAGAGGGTATTTGGAATTCATTCATCTTTTTCTGAATTATTTTTAGAGTTTCTTGTGATAATACGCTCATCTCTATCCAAAGTCGTTTAACTATTCATCTTGCAATGCCTAAGAATAGACAATGCATTAGATCCACAATCGTGAACATAATTGGGTCAAAGTATGGTAAACGAAGTAATTCAGACCATCTGACTCCAGTCTGTTTCGCAAACCGATTTCGTGAAGCGTCCGAATTACAACGTCTCCATCCTAGAGCGTTTTGACGATGTTCGTTCGAATTCAGAGTAATGAACCAGTCATCCATATTCTCCATACCTGCAAAATTATTTTTTCTGTTTTCATAATTTGCGTGTTTCATACACCGATGACAAAAGGCGAGTGCCGAAACATGACCGCAAATTTTTCTTGCGGCAGGTATGTCACATGACACTAGGATTAGAGCTGCACGAATCCTCTTTCTATTTTCGCATTCGTATGTCCGATTTAGAGTTACACCACTCCAAAGTGATTCTAAATCATCAACAATCAGAGCTAAATAGTGATTAATTCTATGTAAACTCACTTCATTTGGGCCAGGTAAAAGCCCAAGAATCAACATATTTTCTCGCTTAAATTGGATGTCTCTCAGAAGATTGCATATTGCAGCATATATGACTCCAGTGCTATGTATCGTTCTGTCAAACGGCTGAAACCAGTCAAGGTTCAGCATCAATCCGAGATGTGAATCGGCAACGTCAGGATGAAAGAAATTACTTGAATTATCATTATCTTTTAGGGTTCGCCACACTTTCCCATCATAAATGTCCGTTAAAATGTCATCATGATTTGGACGATTTGCCCAGTGTCGAAGGGATTTTTCAAATTCTGGTCGATTGTACATTTTCCTCAATTGTTGACAAATTCCAGCAAACGGATATATTAATTTAGGTTTCAAACTTAGTTTTTCGTTTGTTAATAAGATTCGGTCGTATAATGGAGTTTGACACCGCTTTAATCTACGACTTGTTGAATTTGGAAATTCAATATGTTGACATTTCGTTACAGTAAGGTCTTCATCTTGATAAAAATTTTCCAATTCTTGTTTATTATATAATTTATGACACTTTTGACACGGCACAAAGCTATGAAATAGGTCTTTAAGACCAAGCACATTTTTTGCAAGAAACAAAGTGCCAGGAAATGTATCAAAATTGGAACCTCCGATTTCTCTTAACACCAGTTTCATGAATTTTATTAATGATTCTATTCCTGTTTCTGGAAGGTTAAACCTTGTCTGAAATCTCATAATCCAGATTAAAATCCATAATATTCGGTTATCATTCACCACCTCTGTATTAATTGATGGTTCAAATGGAGGACATGAATAGTTCTCAAAAATTTCAGAATATTCATTATTTGCCGAATCGTCATTATCATCAATGCCAGTATCAGATTCGGTAGCTTCTGATTGTTCGAAGTCGTTAATGAAAAGTTCGGTGAAAGTTGTTGAAAGTTTAGTATATCTTGATACATGTTCCCGAGGTAAATAATTGAAATCAGAATTGTCGGTTTCTTGATTTTCTTCTTCTATATCTTCTATATCAACAGTATCTTGTGAAACTTCAATTTGTTGCCTACTAAACCTAGCCGACTGATATAACTCATTGTTTGTATTTTGTTGAGACGATTCAGCTTCGATATCTTCCTGAATTGACATTTGGCTTGATGAACTTGCATGTTTTCTCTGTGTACGAGGATCGACCAATTTTCCTTCACATTTGTCACAAAAACAGTTAACTTTTGTCCTTGTGCTGGACCTAATTGGTTTAGCAATTGGTCGAGAATCGTCTTCGAGTACACTTGATATTGACCTTTTTCTTGTCATGTGATTATTTTATGAAAAATTGATATAATTGACTGTAAAAGTCGATTTTAACATTATTTCAAATCAATCTCGACTTATAGGGGAATAAATCTAATAAGAAAAAATTCGATCATCATAATCACAATAAGGAAATTTAAGAGATAAATCAATAATAAGAACAATAAGGGAAATTCGTAAGAATTAGGATAAATTAAATAATAAGGAAAATAAGATCATAATAAGTAAATTTAATCAATTGTTTGATCACAGTGTCAAAAGTCAATTTTGAGTCTATAAAAGAGATCATTTCTGCTTGAATTTTCACCAATTTTTATTTTTTTTTAAAAATACAAATTTAAACTTTTGAATAAAAATATGAAAAAACAAGAAAAACAAACTGACAAACGAAGACAAAGTTCGGACTCTCGAAGTTCAAGAGGCCCATTTGTTCTTTCAGTTGATGGGGAAATCAGACAAACTCCTTCAAATCGTCAAACTACATCAACTCCTTCAAATCGTCAAACCGAACAAACTTCTTCCATTACTCCTTCAAATCGTCAAACTATATCCACTCCTTCAAATCGTCAAACTGAACAAACTTCTTCCATTACTCCTTCAAATCGTCAAACTACATCAACTCCTTCAAATCGTTAAACCGAACAAACTTCTTCCATTACTCCTTCAAATCGTCAAACCGAACAAACTTCTTCCATTACTCCTTCAAATCGTCAAACTATATCCACTCCTTCAAATCGTCAAACCGAACAAACTTCTTCCATTACTCCTTCAAATCGTCAAACTGAACAAACTTCTTCAATTACTCCTTCAAATCGTCAAACTACATCAACTCCTTCAAATCGTCAAACCGAACAAACTTCTTCAATTACTCCAACAAGTCGGCAAACTAATTCCATTGTTACTTCAAGTTTAAAGATTAAAATTCCAAAAATTCGTCTGCTGACCAGCATGTTGCTCGCTCCTCCTGCTCCACGCCAGCTGGAGCCTGCTTTAACATGTGAACAAGAATCAAGCGACGGTGATTTTTTTTTTTTTTATTATTATAGTTCATTAAACTTATTTTATACTGCTTACATTAACATTTATACGATTGTTAGATTTAAAATCAGAAAATGCGATTTTAAGAGCTCAAAACGAACAACTGCGCCAACAAGTGAATGAGATTACCGAACAATTGCAGACAGTCACCTAAAAATTCAATAGTTCACAAGAAGAGAATCAAACGTTATTAATGATCAATAACGAATTCAGTCTTGAAAATGACAAACTTTACAAAAGCCTTGAACGATATCGGTCAGTCAAACTTCCAAGAAGCTTAAAAACGGCAATCCGAAAAGATCCCGAACTTGAGTAAGATGAAGAATTTCGTCCACATAAGCGTCAAAAATCTGAAAAAAAACAAAAGCATAAACAAAAAAAAGGAAAACGACTGACTAAACGTAGCTATGACAATGAAAGCAGTTCAGAAGACGAAAGTAGTTCAGATGAAAGTGAAATGGATGAAAAAAAAGCAAGGGTTTGTACAATTTTATTTGTCAGATAGCTTTGTGCCAACATTTATTGAGTTTTCTTTTTTTTTGTGAATAATTTAGGCGGAAATGAAAACGATATTAAAGACAGTACCAAAAACGTTAGATATGAATTATAACGAAACCTTCACAAGCGGCGCTAATGTGGAGATCTGCTGAAAATTGGTACCAGAGTTACTCAACTCTTTAAAACCAAAGTACCACCCCACATATGATCAACTAACCCAATGGCTCAGGTCCCTACATAAAACTAGAAGAAGCAGGAATATTTACAGAAATAAAGGCCAACTTGACGCTGACAATCGTCGCTTACATGCAAACAATAGGTTAAATGAAGTATGGATTTTTTTGCTTTTTATATATATATACATATGTATATACGTTTACAATAACAGATTTCACGTACAATTCAGAAAAAGATTCGGCGGATGAAAAGTGCAAAGTCACTTTACGCAAATAATAATTCAGAAATATCAAAGTACAATAAAGAAGAACTATTAAAAATACTAAAAAATAGAAAGTACCATTCACCGGAAATAAGTGAATCAGACGATGATCCTGTTAATCAAAATAAACGTATTATTTGCGTATACGATCTGTCTTGGCGTTCAGATGAGGTTCGATGCCAATTTTTTTTTATTTTTATAGAAATTTTATACTTATATTAATTATTATTTATTTTAGCTAAAAATGCTACTTCGAGATATCCTTGATCCTCATTCATTCACAATACAAATCGCTCGTTTGACAAGAGAACGCAATTATGATGACGAATTGCAATCTTACGACCACCCCCATCCTCCGAATGCTCCTGAATGGTCTTACATAGAACAAATTGACCAAGTTTATGACACAGAAATTGAAGGTGAATTTTATCAAGAATTATCATCATGTGTCAAATTATTAAACAGATGTAAATTTAGGTAGTAAAACACCAGTTTACGGCGATAATGAAGATTCGATTGTGGGTAATATGCCAGTTTACGGTGATAACGAAGATTCGATTATGTATAACACCGATGAAGAATATGCTCATGGCGAATCTTCAACTACTGGGATGATTCGTGAAGCTATTTTGGAAGCCGATTCGCAACAAAAAGACAAAAATAAGAAAATTGAGTAAAACCACCAATATTTTTTGGACGCAATTTGGTTTTTTTTTACTAATTTTATATTACTTTATTATCTTAGAGACAATTTTAGTCGAAATTTAGAAAATTACAAATTTGTTCCTTTTTTTCTTCTAAAATCTAAATAAAAATTCATCTATTTAGTAATAAACGATTTGTTCATATAAATTGACGATTATTGCTAACCGAAACTTTGGAATGTTTGTTTGTGGTTTTTTTTTTCTTAACGAAGTCTTTCTTTTTTTTAGACAATTCATTTTGGACATGGGATTTCGGTGATTTTTTTTTTCTATTTTAATTTTTATTTCAACGAACTGTTATTAACGGTTCTTTTTATAGGCTTTTTTTTCTTATTTAAAGAATTCAAAATAGATTTACCGATTTACAATCTATATTTAAACTTTTAATACACAAGTCTAAATTTAGGTAGATTTTTTTTTCCTTATTTAAAATCGACTCGGACTTTCTATCAACTTCGGACTGGAATTTTTTTTCTTCTTTTTGCGGTTTTTATAAACCATTAAAAAAAAAAATCTTTTTTTTTTTAAAAAATTTTTTTTTTAGGGACGCGTTGACCTTAGCCTCTTGGATATCGGACTTTGGAATTGTATAATGGGAGGAGTGGCTTTATTTTTGAGTTGAAACGTAACTAACGTTCCTTTTTTTTCTTAGGACGCATCCTGGACTTGGACTTCGGCTTTTTGGATACCACGGCCTCTTTGATACCGAACTTTGGTCTTTTGGCTTTATTTTGGCTTCGGAAGGTAAGTGTTTTTTTTAAAGAAAAAAGTCACTTTATAAAAACATTTTACTACTTTTTTTTTTATAGGAATTTCCAGCTAGAACGAACAGGACTTTAAGGTAAAAGTTGGTTTTTTTTTCTTATTTTTCTTTAATTTAAGAAACGTTTTAACATTTATTTTCGTTATTTTTTTTGTAGAGTGCCAGATTGGACACGAAATCGGGCTTTAAGATAAGAAACAGGAAATGTGAAGTGTTTTTTAATTATAATTAATTAAAAAAGTTCTTTTGCATTATTTTGCAGGAAACACATATGATTAACCGAAAGCAGTTTTGAACGTCAAAACGTTTCTCAATGTTTCGTCTATCGGTTAGTTTCAAACTAAACTCAATTTTTTGACCGAAACTTTATCATATTATTAACTTTCGTCTTTTTTTTTTGTAGGTATTTTGCCCGGATCTTGAATCTACAGGTGAGTTTCGTTGGAAATTTTTTTGTTAATTTTTTATCGAAACGTTATCATATTAACTTTCGTCTTTTTTTTGTAGGTATTTCGCCCGGATATTGGATCTACAGGTGAGTTTCGTTGGAAATTTTTTTGTTAATTTTTTATCGAAACTTTATCATATTATTAACTTTCGTCTTTTTACGGGTGAGTTTCAACCGAAACTCTTTTTTTTTCTTTTTTAGGTGAGTATCGGCTTCGATTTTGCGCTTTAATTTGATTAGGTATGCATCGGCTTCGACATTATGCTTTGGATCGTTAAGTTCGAAGCTTATTTTTTTTTTGTTTAGCTTTTTTTTTAGGTACATATCGGCTTTGATCTTAGGCTTTGGCAAGTTTCAAAAGTCTTTTCTTTCAAAACTTATTGTTTTCGGTTTTTTTTTAAAAAACTTGCTTTAACTTTTTTTTTTCTTTTTTAAATACCGGCTTCCTTTCTTTGGATTTGGATGGATAATAATCGAAACTTACATATTTTTTTTTCTTTTTTAAATTTTTCTCTTCTTTTTGTAGGTATCGTACCTTCGGCTTTGGGTCTTGGAATTGGTAAGTTTCAAGGTATCAGTTTGGACATTGGCGATTTTTCAGTAGGATTTTTTGATTGAAATAAATTGGTAAGTTTTGAAGCAATTCATTTCAAACTTTTTTTTAAGTTTTTTTTAATTTTGTTTCTTTTTTTGTCTATTATGTAGGTATCATTATAAGTATCATCGGTTTTTAGGTTGACTTTATTTTTCAGATAGCATTCGGATGGTAAATACTATAGTAATAAATTAGCAATAGATGTATATATATTATGTACAATTTGTATAATTGAAATAATTGAAATTAAATTAAATTACATTTAAAAGAATAAAATATAAATTCAAAATTTAAATAATTAAAAATCAGCTAAAATTAGAACAAAATTCCTTCAACATTCGGTAATTCGAAATTTGGACGAAATGCATTATTATTTACATCCAAACTTGACCGAAAGTTATTTCAAATGCTAACCGAACTTTGGTCGAAATTCTAAGCCGAACTTTAGGCGAGTGGCAGCGAACTGCAGCCAAAAAATCGGCTAAAATTCGTCTAGCTTTAGACTAAAATTTAGCCTAAAATCGGCTGGCCGAATTTTGGCTGATTTGGACTATTTTGACCAGTGTATGTGATTAACCTGTATACATAATTTGAATGCGCTAACAAAACTAGGATAATAAAAATATACCATTTAAATCTGTAAATCATCGCTCTATTTCCATTTTGATTTTCTTTTTAATGACGCCCTGTCTTATGATCCGCAAAATGTAAATCAGGAATGCGGTTTTTTTATTAGTAATTCAGAACTGCGTAATAAGCGATATAGAACATACCAGAACTGGACTTCCTTTGTCTTTTGCCTTGTATTTCTGTATTAATGACTCAATCTTTTCTGAAATCACTTTTTCATTGCACAAACTCCATTGTAAATATACCTCTTTTGCTTTCTTTGCTACTTCTTTTTTGCTTTTAGCAGTTAATAATATATTTATGAAGTCTTTTTTCAGAATACCTGCAAACCAGGTCAAAAATGTATATTCAGCGTCATCTACTTTAAACATGTCTTTTGCCATCTGAATTCCTTTTTGCCACATTTCCCGATGCCATTCTTTATCTGAAAATGGAACTGACCAAGGCACTTTTTTATCTAAGTCCTTGGAATCGTCTTTAAATCCATCCTTTTGGTTAATAATCTCAGGAGCTGGTGTCACTTTTTTTCTTTGTCCTTTTCTATAAGCTTTGTTGCTGGGCCTGGTCCGGCTTCAGAGTTTTCTACTAGTTGAAAAACTTGGGCTTTCTTTCGCCGTTTATTAGAATACTTTCTTTCAGCTTGGCGCTCTATCAAATCAAACCATTCTGCATCTGTTTTGATGACCTTTTTATTAATAATGGTTGGGTTATTTTTTATTTCAGAATTCGCAAGCCAGGTAGCCAAATCCTCTATAGATAAATGCGTTGCTTGGCCTTTTTTAGACCCTTCCTTTTCACGAATATGGATTACAGGAAATGGAGGATTAGGTGTTAGCGATTGAGGACTGGATATATTAGGGTTAAGCGGCTGAACTGGGTTGAATATTTGGGTTTGTTTGCACTTAAACTTTCTGTTAAGATGATTTGTTAAATCACGAGTCTTTTTAAAGTCATTCTTTCCACATCGAGGACATTGAAGTACTATTTTTGTTAGTAAGTGAATCAATTCAGTTATTTGTATTAATAGTACGAAAACTTTTGTTCAAATAATAATTAATTATCCCTTTTTCGATCAAGACCTTCTTCGGGAGATATCGAACTATAGTGAGAAAAAAGGGGTTTGTGGCAAGTTGACAAGCTTTGAACCCGGCTTCTGCAGAAAGCATGCTAGTGGATACTATGTGACCCAATATATTAATAGGCTTCGGGATAATACTAGGATGGCAGAAATGCTAGAAGAGGCTAGGATCAAAAAAATATAGCATCCATATTTGCTTCACCCTAAAGGGCTTGCTCATATTCCTACTATATTTTTTCTCTTAGCAAGTGCTACCATTATAGTATACGGATTAGGAGGCTATAAAAGGATATACAGTCGTCCTCCCATATAGTCACCCCCTGTATAATCACAACTTCCTTATAAGCACATTTACATTAATCCCAAGTTACTAATAAACTTATTAAAAAACCCTTCCCTTTAATCACATCATATATAATTTTTATAGTCACACCATTTTTTTTTGGTCCTGAAGGGTGTGATTATATAGGAGGATAACTGTATATGTTTGCTCTAGAGGTGAGATTTAAATATGTTCGCCCGGCTATTTATTAGAAGGCTTAATAGACTAACATTTTAAGAAAAAATTTCACTGACAAGCCATGAGAGACATTTTTACACCCCCATTGTTTTTTTTTCACCTAAGGATTTACTGTTAGGTGTAAATTTTTATTATAACGAAATTATAATCAGGAAGGTACACAAAGACAAGAAAACAAATTAGTATTTTTGATAAGTAAGAGGGGCTGGAGCACATTATTAGTCAACTATCATTTTTGAGGTTTTCAGGCGAAAATAACACGGTCTGCACATACTTTCTACTAAGTGTAAATTTTTATTATGTTAGGATTATAATCAGGAAGGCGTGCAAAGGCAAGAAACAAATTAGTAATTTTATTGAGAGAGAGGGGCTAGAATATGTTCTAAGAATACTAATTTTATTGATATACTAGAACTATATTTAAAGAGCCCTAGAACGGCGAAATTAATAAATAATCATTTTAGTAGAAGGAAGGGCCCAGAATGCTTATTTCGAAAACTATCATTCTTGGGATCCCAGGTTAAAATAAATTGGTCTGCCCGCCCTCTCTGCTGCTCTATTATACTTTATATTAAACTATTTAAACTATTGCATAATAAATAAATTATTTACATGTTTATTTATTACACTAATCCTAAAATTTTATTGGTTATATACACAGCATGACAGATGGACATTAGTACATGATATTGAGTTCAAATAGTATAGTCTTACGCTATGTTTCAGATAGGACTTCAGACATCTCTTATGTAGGTCATAACTGACCTTTTGCCAAAAAAACCCAATTTGCTCTTTTTTTATTTTCAGTTTTTTGCAATTATCTCAGCATCCAGTGATTTGATTTATGCCAATAACAAAATCATATAACTATTTATATTACATGTAATAAATACTTGTTATTCCATGGGTATCAATGAATAACTGAAATATTCACCGATGCCTTAGAGGCCCCCTGAAGGGAGGGGAGCATCGGGGTATATGGAGTATTTATTAGATACCCATAGAATAACAGGTTTATCTCATTGTGTATGGTGTATACACCGATGGATTTTATACTTTTTTATACTTTTTTTATACTGGTGGAATAATTTACAAAAAAATCCATCAGTGTATACATAATACCGATGGGGCGATGGGATAATCTGTATAATTTTAAAAAAACAAATTGGTCAGGTTACTATCCAAAAGAAAAGTTTATTAGTAATTTGGGCTAAGGCCGGGCAAAAAAAATTTTTAGATTCTCGTGACATAAAATTTTAAAAATGACCGGCCGGCCGGCATTTTTTTTTATATTTGTAAAATTTTTTCATATGTAAAATTTTTTTACGCCACATTGGCCAATAACTTAAAATTACATGATAAAAATTTTTTACTATAAAAAAAAAATTTCCATTTTTCGAAAAACTGACCCGGCCGGGTCACGAGAATCTAAATTTTTTTTTTGCTCGGCCTAATATAAATATATTTATAAGAAAAAATATACTATATTTGAGGAGTGATTACAAAAGGAATTAATTGTATTTGAAATTTTTATATTAAAAAACTTTAAAATTGATTTTTTTTTTATAATTATAAAACATTTTATATATTTAAACCAGCTTTTTACCTTAAAAGTCACTTTTATATTTATTAAAACTTTCTTTTGATCTTTTAAAATAAGAAAGTAGTTTTCTATATTAATATTATGATACAGAATTTTAATAAACTTTAAATTAACTTTATTTTTATAGCATTATTTTGTTGTAAATAACTAATAAAAAGAATTTTTAAAGATAATTCTTAAAATAAAAATAGGATTTAAATATCTTTATTTATATTAGATAAAAAACCACTTTTTATTGTATTTAAATAAATATTAAGGCTAGAAATATAAAATTACTATTTTTAGATTTCTATTATTAATAAATTTTATAGCTTAAATACAGGTTAACCATATTTTTAATTTATTATAAATGAAAAACATTTATATCATTATATACATTGCATGTCCAAAATTGAACTTTGTATTTTTAAAGTTTTATTTTCATGGACAGGATTTAAGTGATTTCAAATGACATTCATAAGTGAATATTGATTATTTAGTTTAATAAAAAAAAAAATCATTATTATATTATTATATAGTTTTGCGTATAATTTTATATTATTTTATTTTCCAAATTCCGATACTAGCGTAAATTGTATATTAGTATACGAGCCTAAATAAACTTTTTTAAACTTAGTCTATTAGTAAGCTAATAAAATAAGCTTTTCTAATGAAATAATCAGTATAAAAGACGTGTTTTTTTCTCCCAATTGTTGAATAAGAAATAATTCATCGCACATTCTTCTTTGTAATAAACAAATATGAGTGAACTTGAACAAGTACTCGATCAAGAAATTGATGCCCAAGAGTTGGAAGAAGAAGAAGTAAAATTACTTTTCGTATATTTATCACATATAAGATTAAATGAATAAACAGCGACTTTATTATTAGGAACTTTTCTATACTGAAATAGACGAGTTACAAAACCATGGAATTAACTCTTCCGATATTGTTAAACTAAAGAGCGCTGGTATTTGTACTGTGCGGGTATCATATCGCATAAATTTTTCAAATGATTTTATTTTTTAAAGTAGAACCTAAGTTTTCGTGTAATAGGCTATTCATATGACAACCCGCAGAAATCTCTGCAAGATTAAAGGTCTTTCCGAAGCAAAGGTTGATAAACTCAAAGAGACGGCCTGTAAACTTCAGGTGGTAATTGGAAAATCTTTTGATAAATTACAGGCTTATAACTTACGCGTTATTTTCGGCTAGTCTGCTTCATTCATGACTGGTACAGAATTTTCGCAAATAAGATCGAAAGTAATGCATATTTCAACGGGTAGCAAAACGTTGGATTCACTTTTAGGGGGTATTACTTTTTTTTTTTTTTTATAAATTACCACATAATTATAATTTGGAACTTTAGATGTTAAACTTTATTTACCGGATAGGTGGAATTCCTACAATGTCCATCACTGAAGCCTTTGGCGAATTTAGAACGGGTAAGACGCAAATCGCACATACTCTGTGTGTTGTGGCACAACTTCCACCAAGCATGGGAGGAACAAATGGCAAGGTATTAACGACTTAAAATAAACATGATGACTTGTTTGCATTGTCATGTTATAACTTTATTTTATAATCATTTAGGCTGCGTTCATTGATACAGAAGGTATAATTTTTATTTACATAAAAATATATATAAATTTCGTCTCATTCTCATTTTATTAATATTAGGAACCTTTCGTCCAGAACGTATTAAAGCAATAGCTGCTCGTTTCGGAATTGATCAAGAGGCGGCACTTGAGAATATTCTTTTCGCTCGTGCTTTCACGTCAGAACATCAAATGGAATTGATTATCGAGTTGACTGCTCGATTTGCAGAAGAAAAAGGAGTTTACAGATTATTGGTACGCAATGAAACTTGTAAAAAAAGTTTATATTAAAACGTTATGATGGTTAATATATATTTCTTCTTTTGATCAGATAATTGATTCTATTATAGCACTTTTCCGAACCGATTATGCTGGTCGTGGTGAGCTCGCTGAACGACAACAAAAGTTGAATATTATGCTCAATAGATTAACAAAAATATCAGAGGAATTTAATGTAGCCGTTTATATTACGAATCAGGTAATAAATATATTTAACAAAAAAATTTTAAAACTTCGAGTTGATTTATTTTGTACTTTTGTTAGGTTCAAGCTGACCCAGGTAGTAACATGATGTTTGTAAGTGACCCACGCAAACCTATTGGCGGTCATGTACTTGCTCACGCGTAAGTATCTTCTCAGTAAATTTTTACCATAGTAAATATATTTAAAAACTTTTTACTTTCAAATTATCGGTATATATAGATCAACTATACGTCTTTACCTTCGTAAAGGTCGTGGAGATGAACGTATTGCAAAGATCTATGATTCACCTGATATGCCAGAGGCAGAAGCACGTAAGTCGATAGAATTTTTAATAAGCTCCATGTTTGATTATATATATATATATATATATTAAATCACTAATATATGTACATATATTTATGTGCATATAAATATATAGCATATACTATTGCTGCAGGTGGTATAATTGATAGTTCAGGTTGATACGCAGTATATAATAATAAATATACGCAAGTTTATAAACTGGTATTTATAAATAAATAATTATTAATTACTTATGGTCCCACGTATTTATGGGTTCTGTAAAGTTGGACAATAGATTAAAAATAGTATTATTATAACTCAATCAGTTTGTTGAAAAAAACTTGATTATTTTATTTGTTGCATATAAAGAATAAATATACGGAAAAGCTCTTAAATTCCCAACTTGAGAAGTTATATTTAATTTAAATTTACTATGAAATCATTCAACACGTTGATAATAAAATAATCTAACTTGTACAAGTAAGTAAAGCATAAAATTATAATATCACTTAATAATTAGATATGTTATACGTAATTAGACAGTAATAAAGTTACAAAATATATGAATTTAAACATTGTTCGAAAGATTTAAAACGATAATGTTTCTTTGTCTACTTCAATGGATTTATATATTGTGCATAACGAATCTTCAAGAAGATTGTCGAAATTCATTTTAATCGGGAACATTCTTTAAACGCATGATCCGTGTTACATTAGAAGTAATCCGCAGTTTATAAGTGTTTATCTAAAATACAAAATTGATGAACTTTATGCATTACAAAAAAAAGCTTATGAGCAAATTTATTGGTAATACTTTTTTTTTTAAGATTTATTTCCATTTTTTTTTTTTTTTTTACGATAATCAAAAATTTGAATGATGAAAAACAATAATAAATGAATGACTCAGAGAAATCAAATGTCGTATATCGTGGGGTTGACGTCACATTGAGCAATATGGAATTTATAATTTATAAGAAACCCGCGATCGAGAATTTTTATTTAGGCGTTTTATTTTATCGATGTTTTTTTATTCGCCCACCATTCATTTCCTCATTTTGATTCATTGACATAAAAAGACAACCTTTATTATGTGGCGCAGTTCATATTATTGTTTGTGTGTTATTAAAAATTCCCCAAATATTTTAGCAAATGTAACTATGTAACAAAGACTTTACTATATCTTTCATTCTTTTTGAAATAAAGGGCGTAAAAAAAGGTTTTTCTTTTGTTACCCTGAATATTAACAATTAATAACGCGTTATCAATTTATTCTTTGTTGTAAAAATAAAATTTTTTTTTTTTTTTTTNTATTCATTATTCGTTTCACGTTTATTAACAATAACTTGACTGGTATGATAAACGTAAGCCTCCAATTCTTTTTTGTAAATGATAAAAAAATCATTATTTGAAGATATGAACGTTCCTTGATCATAAGCAGGATTTCCTTTAACATAAAATATCTCATTTTCTTTTTCATCCAATTTAACGATTCCTGAAAAAAGGGTAAAAAAGGGTAAAAAAAGGGTAAAAAAGGTAAAAAAGGGTAAAAGTGTATAAATAAAATCGTAAAAAAAAAATAGAATAAAAAATAAAAAATAATAAAAAAAAAAAATAATAATATAAAAAAAAATAATAAAAAAATAGAAAAAAATTTCGTCAAAAATATATCAAAAACCTATAAACAATTTTTATTATCATCATTGTTTTTGGTTTGAACTTTTTTTCCACGTTGAAAAATAGTGAGTTCCACATAAAGGATAAATCCAAATTATTTATTATTTTAATTTCCTAAAAATCTAAAGTTCGCGCGAATAATTATGATATATTAAACAAAGTATAACTGTTACTCGGTGTAAAATAATTGACTAAATTCGATAAAGAACGTACATGAATTTGCTTATCAGTTGATTGATTGCAGTTATTTATTACATGAATTTATTTAAATTACTGGATAGATAATTCTATTGTTTCAAATAGAATTATAAAATACATTCCTAAATAAAAATGTTATTGTGTATTATGTCATTCATTAAATATGTTATCCCTTGTTCCGGTCGTACAACAAACAAAAGCCCCCCCTCCTTCAAACACATCATTCTTCTAAAGCATGCATAATTTTGATTTTTGGGTTAGGACAATTTTTACCATCGACAAAAATCCTAAATATTTTAAGATTTGCATTCCCAAAATTCAAGAATATTTATGGGGTTATCGTAAACTCAAAATCACACTCATCTTTTCCTTCTTTTTATTCATCCTTTTTAATAAATTACCATTTTTTTTATTTTTTTTTTAAAAAAAAAATTTTCAAATGCATACGGAAGATTGTGTTCAGTGTTCACAATAATTAATATCTGAAAGTACAATATATATCATTTATATGTATTTACATGTTTTCTTTCTTTTTTTTCTTTTCTTTCTAATTTTCATCCAATAAGATTATGTAATTTTTTATAATAATCAATATAAATAATGAAGGGTTTAAATTTTTTTTAGATTGGTATTTTTTATTTATTTATTCATTAGTTTTTTTCCCCATGATAAAAAAAATGCCAAAGTTATCCATGAAAGATGGGGAAAAAAAAGATTTAGGATTAATCCAGAATGGACAATAAAAAAAAAAAGATTTTTTTTTTTTTTTTTTTAAAAAAAAAAAAAAATTTAAGGGTAAACTTTAGGATGATGATTGATATCGTAATGTTTATGATAAGAAAATTGGGATTGGTAAAGATTAACAAAGCGTTTTTATTTTTTATCGTATGGTAACCACAAAAAAAAAAAATTACGCCAAAAAATATTAAAGATAAATGTCATTCAATCTAAACCTTATAAAAGAATGATGGACGAAATTTCTTTCCTTCTTTAAATTCTTACTTCCTTCAAAAATCAATATTTTTTTTTTTGTACCATTATTATTTGAGGTCATATTCAAAACTTATTCGTAATAAGGGTTAGCTTCAAAGAATTACCAATCAAAATATCTAAATAGTAAGGTGATATTAAATGAGAAAATCGTTTTTGGAATTTTAATCATTTATGACGCATTTCGACATGATATATCGTAATTATTGCATTATTCCACTTTCCAACCATGAGTAGAAAATGCTAAAAACTATCCAAGAAATTCCATATCATGTTTCATTTAAGGGATTTCTTTTTTTTACCATTTTAAATTTATCGATATTAGTTACCCGTTCGATTGTTTACATTACCCCGAATTTTCGTGTAAAGGAAAAAAATGACGCAAGATCATACAAATCCTATTGTTCCAAATTCAAATTACTTATTATTAATGTTATTAATGTTCCATTTACCGGTTAGAATTTTTTTAAAACTAATCATCCATTTTTTTTAACAAAAAAAGTGATTCCTATTGTCGAGAATCACTGAATGAATCAAAAAATCCGGTTTTTTAATAAAATAAAATAGCATACAAACAAAAAAATTTGGGATTACAAAAAAAAATGCTACTTTAAAAAATTTTTTATTTTATATTTCGCCAAATAATTTGAAATAAGAAATACAGTTTATAAATATGTTGATTTATAATAAATAAGTTGTGCACAAATTTTTTTTTTTTTTTTTTACTCATAGTCGATAAGTCGATAAAATGATGGCATCATTTAGTTTATGATCCCACACTACCCCATTATATATTTTTTTTTTTTTTATATATTCAATATTATATATATATATATAATATTGTATATAATGAAAGCTTTTTAGAGTTTTTGGATTTTCTTCACGCGATGATTTTTTAAAAAAAAAAATATTATTTTTTTTTTTA